TGGTCATAGTTTGAGTATGTACCGTGCAATTAACTCTAAAAAACTGATAATGTTATTATAAAAGGAAAGTTGGACTGTACTCAAGTCCTTGTGATTGTGGATGACCCCGTCTCTTTCTTCTCAATCACCAAACAAACACTGCCATTTCATATTCTTCCCTTCAGTTCCCTCCCTTTTGAATCCATTTCCTCTTTTCGTTTTCACAAATTAGTCCACAAACAATACCTGAATCGAATTTGAATCTTCGATCTTCCAATTCTAATGGCAGAGGAAGAGTTTCAGGAATCGGAGGTTGTATTCTGCGACGGCACACACGACGGCGGTGCAACCGTTCAATCCGACGTAATCTTCGATCGCCGCCGGCCTATGTTATCAAGGAATTGCCGTTCGATTCCCGTAAATATTCCGCTTCACCGGGGTAATAACAGTATTGTTTTCGATTGCGGTGATGGATTTGATGAAGATCGTGACGATGGCCGCGAAATTGTTCCGCCGCATGTGATATCGGGGAGGAGAATCGCAGCGAAAATGGCGTTTTCTGTTTGTATAGGTAATGGAAGGACGCTTAAAGGGAGGGATTTGAGTGAAGTGCGGAATTCGATTCTTAAGTTGACTGGATTTTTGGAAGCATAAAACTGGTGAAATCATTTTTCTTTTCCATTTTTTTGAATTCTTTTGTTTCATCGTTCCAGAATTTCAGAAATGATGAGAGATATGTTTATATAATTATTTTATTTCTACGATTATTACTACATTTTCCATTTGCTTGTAAGTTTTTTTGGCCAATTTTTAATTTTTAATGTAATGATTTCTTGGCTCTAAGGTTTCGACTTAAAGTTAACTTTCTCCATAATTCCATCTTTGATTCAGTCCTTTGGCAAAAAAAAAATTAATTTGAAATAAATATAAGGTAATATCTGTTTAAAAATAACTTTTAATTATTTAATATTGATTGCTCATATATTTGACATTTATGATGCTCGAATCCAAAATTTTAAGAAATAATAATAATTCTTTTATCACTAAAATTATTAGATCGTGCAAAATATCTTTTTTAAAGCACATATAAAAACGGTTTCACGTATATATTTGATATAAATATGCTTAATTTTAAAAAAATATATAATTTATAAATATACAATTTCTAAAGAAAATACATAAAAAATAGATTTCTTGAAGGTTTGTTCAAATTTGGGCATAAAATTATCCAACTATATTGGTAGATTTATAATTTTAAACATTATTATTTTTATTGTATGAGATGTTACAAGGTAGTTATTAACTCTTAACTATAATGATAAAAATCACTTTTATAAAAGAATTCAATTTTAAGTATCAAAATCGATGTTATTAAAAGATAGTATTTATTCACTTTGGGAATGCTTTTAACAATGGAAAAGTGATTTTCCACCCTATAAGTAATGGTTAAACATCCAAAAATTGATTTAAAATCATGGGTTGAAAAAATAATTTTTAATCTAATCTCATAAGCTTAAATTTCTAGTTTCTACTGTAAAAAATTATTTTATGATGAAATTTTATTTTTAATTTACAATATAATATCTAAAATGACCAATTTATTTTTCTAAAATTATTTTTAACAACAATCTCGTACAATTAAATTTTAAATTATATTTTTCAAAAATACTTTTATACAACACTTTTAAAATTATTTTTAAAAAATATGCTTATACAACACTTTTAAAATCATTTTTTAAAAACAATAGACACTCTACACACACGTAACTACTCTAATCCAAAAACTTTAAAAAGAGCAATATTCTATATTATCGATGAGACTGTTCAATGTATTTAACTTAATTAGAGTTATAAAAATTATTGAATATCATTGAGTCTGACACTAACAATTTAAATTATTGAAGACAAATATTTAAATAAGTATTATATTATATACTATTATATTGATAATTATACACTAAAAATAATTAAAGTAGAATATATAAATGGTCTCTCGATTATAGATATTGTTTTGTTGAGTCTCTTGACTATTAAAATTTATAAAATAATATCATGACTACATGACTCTGTTTTCCTTATTATTAAAACTTATAAAATCATCATCCGACTATTCATATATTACAAACTTGTATTGTTTTGTTAAAAGATTGACGATTGTCTAAGTTGGACGTTAACATATTGACTGAAATATGATAAAATCATATATTTAATTATATTTATTGACATTGTTGTTGCTTTCGAGAACTAGCTGACTATATACTGTTTGAAGCACTAACTCGACAACATAATGTAAACAAATACTCGATCTACAAAATACAGCTCAAACTGTTTTGAGATCATATTTTAACAAACATGTTAACATCCAGCTTAGACAATCGTTAATATTTTAACGAGTAAAAAAGATTAATTTAGAACATATGAATAATCAAGTGATTATTTTGTAACTTTTAATAACTAGAGACTCGATAAAACGACGTCTTATGGTTAGAAGATTATTTTATAACTTTTAATAGTCGGAGACTCAATAAAAAATGTACTATAGTAAAAGGATTATTTGTCTACTTTACCAAATCATTATTTAGTTAACTTTAATAATGTTTACGAACTGTTGGAATCGAGTCGGATTTTCGTTTTAGTTTAATAAAAAAATTAACACAATATATTTTTTTTGTATATTAAAGTTTAGGAAATTGGTGACTCTCACAGTTCAAGGTCAAGTCATACCTAAGATCCAATTGATATTTATATAATAGTTTACAAATTGTCCATCAATAATGACGGTGGTAGAATTCAAACTTAACCTTACAAGCTCAAATTCTTGAATCCTAACTACTTGTGCCATCACTCATCGGCAACAATATTATTGTTTAGTTTGCTGCAAATCACATGTTTTTTCTCATTTTGATATCCAATATATTTTCTAGTTTGATACTTAAATTATTATTTTATCTTTATTTATACTTAGAACATAACCAACTTAAAAAATATTATTAATTAATAAAAAATTGACACATGATAAATGATGTTATATATGACATGAATTGGCATATATATGACATATTTTTATTAGTTGGCACCGAGATGTTTTTAAATTTATTTATTTTTATAATATTATTTGTTAGTTTAAATAATTAATATTTTTAACTATTTTAATCAAAATATTGATATGTATTTTCTAAAGAACAACCCTTTTGATATATAAAGTATAACAAAATCCATGGCATCATCTATATGAGTTAACTAATGTTCAAAACATGTTAATAATATAACCTTTTTACATGTGCTTAACTGTCGATATGATACTGTCATGTCATCCGAGTGATGATGTGACATGTTTTGCAACATCTATAGTGTTGCCATGATATATGTTAAGTTGGTAATTAAACACATATAAAAATATCAAGTCAGTAATATATGTTGATCGTTAATTAACTAAAAACGTTGAGAACTAAAAATGCTCTAAAAATAGTGGGCAACGTGATTATTTATGCAAATATTGAGAGATAATTTTATCATTATACTTAATAATAATTTAACATCTTTTTAGTAAAATTTTAAATCTGGTTCTTATGTGTTATTATTTATAATTAGGCAAGTAAGCTAAAATTGTTGTCTAAGGCTTAAAATTGTATGTTGAGATCCAATCTATTAGTATTATTTTATCCTTTATTTTATTTAGGAGATGAGGTGTTATACCGGTCATAATATTCAATATTTATTAATTATCATTTTGTTTATGGAACAAGATGTTGTAAATTTATTGACTAATATCATAAAAGTAAATTATGATATTATGAATGAAGTAATTTGGATTAGAAGGGTTGTTTTTGTGTAATATTTATGTAATATTCAATTTAAATTAATCGATCAATAAATTAAATAATGTGATAATATTAAAAATAAATATAAAATTCTATATTTTCATTTAAAAATGAACTTAGATGTATAATTAACACATATAACTCTTAAAAGTAGTGTACAATACGGAACTACAAATATAATGTTAATTATTAACATAAGATTAATGTTGATTAAATTATTCTTACTCGATATATTTTGACATGATCTTATAGGATTTTTTTTATGAAACTTCGATTCGAGTTTGGGTCGAATCAGATTTTATGAAGGATGAAATTGAGTCTAGTCAAGTTTGAATTTAAGATAAAAAATCATTGACCCAACTTGAAATTAATATTTTATAATTTTCCTCTTTATATTTTAAAATGATTATTATAGAATCCATGTTTATATATTATTTTAAATCATCTTCTATATTTTTAAATAAATATAAGAAAAGTCTTATTTGTATGAGATTAAAGAAATGTTTTTACTCCAAGAAAACCAGATTAGATGAAATCTCCCTAAACTTATATCAAATCAAAGTGTTGAATAAAAAGATATACTATTTGAATTAGAGTCGAAATGATTAAAAACTTTGTCCAAATTGATATGTGATCATCTCTATTTGAATAAAAAGGAATACGGTAAAAGTTGTAATCATCTCGTACTATTCAAATAAACTTTCATAAAAATGGTATTCTTGGATCTTTTTCTTGCAAAGAAAATGAAGAGCAGGAAGGTAAGAGTGGAGGTGGATGCGAAAGAGGTGGTGGAAAGACTGAATCAGGAAATCGAAGATGATCATCAATATAATACGCTGATAAGAGGATTGTGAAGTGCTGAAATAAGAATGTTTTTTTTTTTTTGAAGTGATGAAATAAGAATGTTGAATTAAAGAGATGAGACATATACGACGTGATATATAAAGAATAATTTTTTTATCAAGTTATATTTAAATATTGAATATTATTTATAGTATTAAATATTAATTTTAATAGATAAATAATTATAAGTAATAATTAATTTATTAATTAAATATGAAAAAAGTTTTAATTAAAAATTATAATTTAATATTTAATATGACCAAGCTTATTAGGACCGAACTTTGGATATAACTTGAAATTAATTATAAAAGAATCCATGGGTCTTTTGCTGCTCTGCCACAAAGAAAGAGGGAGCTGAAGGAGAAATTGAGAGAGAGAGAGAGAGAACATGGGGATCGAAGAAAACTTGAAATCTTTGAGCATCGACGAAGAGGAAAACAAGAACCCTAACCCTAACGTGAAAGACGAAGAAGATGAGGAGCTTGAGGAAGGGGAGATTGCCGGGGAAGAAGACGATACGCCGTCGTCTTCTTTGAAGGGAGGCGTCGTCGAACAACCTCGCCCGCTTGAGAATTCTTGGACCTTCTGGTTCGATAACCCTCAAGCCAAATCGAAGCAAACTACTTGGGGCAGTTCTATGCGCCCTATCTACACTTTCTCCACCATCGAACAATTCTGGAGGTTATTTTATCTTCTTCTATTTATTTTCTGGTTTTTGATATGTTTGCCGTGGGTGTTATCGCTTATCTTGAGTTTTTAGATTCTGGGTTTTTGATTATATGTCAAGATTTCGGATTATTGCTCTGAAAATGGGTTTATTTCTTTTCATCCTTTGATTACTGTTTGGGGTTGGAGATATAGGAAATGACCTCGAATCATAGTACTAAATTGTGGTTGTGTTTATCAAAAAAATAAAATAAAATTTGTGGTTGTATTGTTTGTTGCGGTGCAATCGTTGTGAATGTTGCGGATTTCATGAAGGGCATAACGGTTGTTGCATTTGTTTCTAGAAAATCACAATGTTACTAAATTGTGGATGCGAAAAGGGTATCCTGGTGAACTTCAAAACCATTATAATGATACTTCAAATACATGGAAAACCTTAGAGAAGTATTACCATATCCATGTCGAATACATTCTCGCATCTGACGCACACGGCTAAGTTCAAGTAAAATAGTTGGTGTTTATAATCTTGTGATTATTCACGAACATATATATATGTATATAAATGACGGTGATGTTGAGTGTAAATGGGATTTGCTGTAACTGTTATAGTGGAAGAATGTGTTCTATATGGATCTTGGAGCTGCATACTACAGACTACTGAGTGATGCTTCCTAGAATCTTGTTTCATCTGAATTGGATGTTATCAAATGTTCTTTAATTTTTTTATAATCAATCAATGTTGTAGAAAGTGCTCTTATCGGCTGTGTGATAATTTAATCTTTGCTTATTAAAATTTTGGATAGTTGCTTGATGCTAAGGTGAATAAGTTATGTGATCATAGAAAAACAACTATTCCGACCGTCTCTATATCACTGCCATTGATTACTAATTTCATGTGTCACTTCTTTTGTTTGTTTCACTTTGTTAGTTAATGACACTTTCGTGATTACAGTCTTTACAACAACATACATCACCCGAGCAAGTTGGCTGTGGGAGCGGACTTTCATTGTTTCAAACATAAAATCGAGCCAAAGTGGGAAGACCCTGTCTGTGCTAATGGAGGCAAGTGGACTGTAACCTTCCAAAAGGGGAAGTCAGATATGTCTTGGTTATACACGGTATTATTTCAGATGATATAAAGCATATTCTTGTTCATGAAAATTCGATGCTCAAGTGAAAAACGTGGTCTGATCTCTTATTTAATTTTCCCATTCTAGTTGCTGGCTTTGATAGGAGAACAGTTTGAGTATGGTGATGAGATCTGTGGAGCAGTTGTCGGTGTGAGAGGCAAGCAGGAAAGGATAGCACTGTGGACCAAGAATGCTTCCAATGAAACAGCACAGGTGAATGGAGTTGCTTTGTTACGCAAAAATGACTTGTGCAATTCCATAACAGTTCTCACTGGGTTTTTGGTTTTAGTGGCTTGTGAATTTCTAAAACTTCTCTTTTTGTTGGTTTTTGTTTTTTGTTGATGCAGATGAGCATCGGTAAACAGTGGAAAGAGTTACTTGATTACAACGAAACTATCGGCTTCATATTTCATGTAATGGCTACTTTTAGATCTATGATGCTTGTTCTTTTTCGTTTCATTTTATGTTTCGAGTTTTGGCCTATATAAACAAACCTCATCTATTTGCTCTTTCAGGAAGATGCAAAAAAGCACGATAGAGGTGCCAAGAATCGCTACACCGTATGAGTTTTATAGAGTTCTTCTATGGTACTAGATACTGTGCACGACGCTAGATTGCTTTCAGGACTCGCTGTAAGCACCTGCGGCTTTACTTTGTTGTTGCCTCACAGTCCTTAGTTGCTTCACCTATGGCTGTATGAGATGCTTTTCAATCGCGACTTCATTTTGTTATATTCTTGCTTAAAAGGTATCACGGGGTTTTCTTTTTCACATGACCCCGAACCGTATCAATATGGATTGGTTTGTTACTCTTTTCACTTGAATACCCGGAATCTCCTTTCCGGTTTACCTTTGGTTTGATCAGTAGGTAGTTTGAGACCAAGCTACATACCCCAAACTTCCAATTAAATCAAACCAGTTAGACGAGTTGATCTGGTAACTAGAGGTTTTTTCGGTCTTTTATACATGAGGCATAAGCATGAATTGTCTGATAGGTTGCATCCCAATGATGTGTAATCTCTGGTTTGCACATGTAGGATTAGACCTGCAATTCTGACCCGAATCTTAAAACTTGACCCAATTTATCTGAATCTAACTTGATCTGATTCGACTATATGAAGTCGGTCATAACTTCTCATCATTTAAAGTATTGAACTAATAAGGATTAAATCATTAGTGTCATTTCGAGTTGTTTTGGGTCCAGATCACCTTCGTTATTTTCTTTTCGAATTCAATAATTTTTAAGTTGGTTGTGTTGGATCAACTTGAGTTTTCAAAGTATTGATTATTTTGAGTTTGGGTTCAAATTGAACGAATTCGAAATTTGAACCCAAATCATCATTTTTCATTTCTAATTGAATGTATTTTGAACATTAATAATTTAATTCAAACATTATTCTCATAGCTTTACTATCAAATTTGTAGTTCGAATCCTAAATTTTTGTCATAAAAAATCAGTATCAAATTTATTAAATTAAATAAAAATCATTATCAAATTCGTCTAATAAGATTGTGAATATGTTATCATCTAATTAAATGGTTAAATTTTATATCAAAACTGGGAAGCAACAATAATTTTAGATTTAATGTTGGTTCATTAGAACCGATACCCAAAACTGCTATTAATAGAAGAATGGAACTCTCTTGCAGTGTACAAAATTTCAAAATAAATTTTGTAGTTGAATACCACCACATGGATAAAAGTAGATAAACAAGAATTAATTGGAACTCCATATGATGAAAAATATTTTTTTTAATATTTTATGTAAAATGTTATCTAAAATTTATTTTTTACCGAAAATGTTATTTTCACTAACGAATTTTCGGTAGAACTTATTATTAACATTTTCGGTAGAAAAAATAATATTTTAGGTAATGTTTTTTCGGAAATGTTAAATATTTTAAGTAGTGTCTAATATTAATATTTTCGGTAGAAAAAATAATATTTTAAATAACATTTTACCGAAAATATTAAAAAAAAATAATAATACTTTCGGTAGCACTTTTCGTTAACCTTATATAAAGATTATCATTCTTCAATATAGAAAGTCCATCTATTCCCCATCTCTAGTAAAAAAAAAAAAAAGTTTATCCATTTATAATTTTATGTTAGCTGGATTAATGGATCGTCCAATCAGAAATGATAACAAAATGCATAGGTTGTTAGAAGGAGTTCAAATATTCATATACACATAATATACCACTTAATTAACTTATTTCCCCTATGAGGAAGAAAGAAAAATTAAAGAACCTGCCTATATTGGTAAAACTACAATTGTTGTTAATCAAGGGAAATAATTCGTGGTAAAGACGAGATACGCTTGGATCGAAAAACCCATGCCCTAAATAAAAATATGAACAAATTGATAGAATGATCGAATGAGTAATTATATTGATTTTTTAATTGTCGCATCAACTCCTCCCTTAAATGTTAACACATCAATTCCTCATTTAAATGTTAACAATAAGTAACTTAATTTATATGATTTATATTGTTAGATAACTTGATTTATAGAATTAATAGATCAATTAGAATCTCAACATATTTAAATGACCAACTCGAATAGCCTGACCTGAAAAACTTGAGCATATATAGATATGCCAATTGTGATTCAATCTCAAAAATAATATCTAAATTAAACCTAATTTAAAATTAACAGAATTCAATTGTATTAAAATCAAAACGACCTAAATACAAAATTAACTCTAATTTAAAATTATATAAAAAAACAAAACCTAAATTCAGTTAGTCTAAGTGTACATTTCAGTCCTTTAATTGATAAAGTTCGAGAGAAGACGATTAAGATTCGATTGATAATATTATTAATGTAGACACCTATTTTTATCCGAATCTATAAAAATATTATATTTTATTATATTATTTATTTATTATTTTTATTTTTATTAATATTATTATTTTTATTTTTTATAGGTCCCATATACTATCCCACCATTACCTCACCCACTCAAACACCAACTCATTTTTCATTCACGTTCTCTCACTCCACTACCCCACACACATTCCACTCCTATCCATTTTTTCCACTACTCCCACTAACTAAAAAAACAAATCTGCTTTTGGGGGGCTTTCAATATTTAAAGGCATTCTTCTCATCATTTCGGGGGTGGTTACTGGGTTGGATTTATTTATTTTGTTTCCCGCAAACGCTCAACAGTCCCGTTTCATTTCTTGCAAAATGTCTATCCGTTTCAAATTCCTTGTTCTATCAACAAATCCTCCAACCCAACTATTTTCTGGTTCTTATCTAAGGCCTGCGTGTCAAAGCTTTGGGAGTGCAACTGCACCCACTTCCCATTCAATTCTAACAATTTAATTCATTTCTTGCAAAATGTCTATCCGTTTCAAATTCCTTGTTCTATCAACAAATCCTCCAACCCAACTATTTTCTGGTTCTTATCTAAGGCCTGCGTGTCAAAGCTTTGGGAGTGCAACTGCACCCACTTCCCATTCATTCAAGCGCCTTTGTTGGGGGCAATATGGAAGCAAAAAAGAATTGAAGAGAGGGAGGGAGAGACGCCACCCAACTACACGACAAATCTGAACCCATCTCCTCGAACTCCGCCGAGAGTTCGCCCTCGTCGCCTCTCCCTTCATCACCAAACTCTTCTTGGCCGACTTCGAGTTCCGCGAATCCCAATCCTCTTTCCACCTCTTCGGTGTCAACTCCCTCCTCCACATCCGCCTCGTCGGCCCCAACACCAAATCTTTGAAGGATGACTCCGAACAGATAAACCAGGGCGTTTTCTCTCGATTATCTGAGTCTACGGCCGAGTTTCGTCGAGTCATGAACTGAACTCACCATTTGGCTTTCCGGCGCCGCTTTTTGTTTTTTTTTCAGTGTTTCAGATCGGGGATGCAGCTCGGAGCGGAAGGGTTCGCCGTGGGTTTTCTATATACAATCGTGGGATTGTTGCTTGCTTTCGTCACGCATTTGTTTGTTTATATTAAGAACGCGAAAGCCAAGCGTGTGGCGATGCTTTTTGCGTTCAGATACAACAAGAAGCTGCCAAGTTTGGTGCATCATCAAAGATCAAGAATACATGCATATATGGTGGGGTCCAAAGGGACCTCAAGTGTGTGGTGATTGTTATTACTACTGTGAAGGCAAATATTGGTGGTAAAATCACTTTAAATATATTTTAATGGACCCATAAGCTAATTGACGTGTGTTTGTGTGCAAATTGGTGTGTTTTGGATTTTCTAAGGGTTAATCCATGTTTTAGTCATGCCATCTTTCAATATCATTCATTTTGGTCCTTTTCTTTATTTATTTTTTATCTATTTATTTTTTACTATTTTTCTTTTTTACTAACTTTCATTTTTTTGTCATCTATTTTATTTTATTTATTATTATTATTATATTAATATTTTTTCTTTATTTTTTTCATATTTTTTCTTTATTTTACAATCTAACTTTAGGGATATTTTTCAACCAATCAAAGGTAAGTAATATGAATCGAACGTTTTAAATTTAAATTTCAATTTTTGCAATTAAAGACAACCGGCAAATTAATTGGTACCGAAAGGGCGGTTCAAGGGTGCTAATCCTTCATTGATCGTAACCGACTCCCGAAACCGAAACGTTTCTGGTAAAACGCAGATAAAGTAAGATGGCCCACCTAAATTCGTTTTAAAATGGTTGGTGGCGCCTCTAACTAATTATTCAAGTCGAAACTTAATTTCGAGGTCCAATCGAAAGATGGCCACGACAATTATTATAATATTTAAAAAATTATGAGTTCAAATTGAGGTAGAGCGACTCATTACCCTATTAATATATTGGGCTTAATACACATTTGTTCACAAATATTGCAGTTTAAAGGCTTATATGTTCTGTTTTTCCCAATTGAAATTTCAGCCCAATCCAGTAATTAATTTCCATAGAGATAATTACTATATAAGGATATTTATTTATTTTCCATATTCCTCTAGCTTTTTCTGTTTTTCATTCCATATCCCATTGTTAATAGTTATCTCTCATAATTAAATGTTTCCTTTCCCAGCATTTTTCCTACATTTTCTCCTCAATTAAAGCTGAAGCATCGTCTGATCTTGAGGTAATCTTTTATTTCTTTATTTCTTTTTAATTGTTTAGTACTTTGATCTGCAATACCCATAATTTCTTTTCCCCAAATGTCAAAATTAATGAGAAAGTTGAACATGAGACTTTTACTAAAAGTTCATTAAAATCGTTTAGGAAAAGTGATATGAGATGTATGGAGTGATATATAATTGAATTAGATGACGAGTAGATTTTTTTTTTTTTTAAATTCGTTTGAAAAATGAATTTTAGTTTGGCTTAATAAATGGATGATAACTTTTGTTTTAGCTTCCTTTGATTGATGAAACAAGCTTTTGGTATCTAATTTCAGCTGTTTGTTGTGTTGAATTTTTTTCAGATCATGTAAAGTAATTAATGTAGTTGTTTTGGAAACTAGATGGTGTATCTAGGAGATAGCTTATTAAAGGTCAGTATAGTTTGGTCGTGCAACATCTTCGATGAGCTTATTTATAAGGGTCTGAATGTTGGCTAATGCTGGTTCTTTCTTTCAGTTGTTTTATATGTAGCACGTGTCATGAGTGTGAACGAGGATCGTTCGGTTACTCAAAAGAATAAAATGAAAGTGCCCGAAAGACATAAGCGTGTTCCGAGTAGAGATGTCTTGCCTGGGAATGATCGTTGGGCAGATGGGCTG